CTAGCGTTCATGAAACTCACAAACGCTAACGCTACCCATGCACAACCTCGGAGGCAAGAGCGTTGGTAGTGCAAGTTATGGCGACAAACGCTATCGACAATGACGTCACGGATGGTGTTCGTAGCGTTGGGAGCTCTCCGGACAGCGTTAGCGTTCGATAGCACTAGTAGTGAGCTCCCCGAACATATCCTATGTACGACATCATCGTAATAATGAATGCCAGATGTCATATGACGGATGTCATGCGTAGTGTGAATTCTATGTTTAAGTACGGATTCATACGAAGCGATCCCGAACAGCTCCTGAGAGACAAAGGTACGTTCGAAAATAAGTTTGATTGATGTTGAAAAAGAAAGTAAAGTTGGTAATATTGAAAATTATCAACGCTGCGTTTTGTTTCTCCCACTGGGATTGCTGGGAGACCAAAGTAATGGTGAATATAAAAATAGAAAAGAAAGCTATTTAAAATGTTACAAGATGTACATAAGTAAAACATTAAATGTTCTTATAATATATAACATGTTGTTCAACATTAACTTTATGTATAACTCGTAGAGATGTTGTATACTTAATTGTAATCGTAACTAAATACAATAGAATACAAATCTATTCAATTCTAATCTCTGATTTTTCTTACTCTTTTTCTTTTATGCTTACTCTGGATATATGTAAAAGAGAGTTTATGTAAGCTAAATCTTCTGTATTAGTTTTAAGTTTATTTTTAAATATCGCGCATTAGAGTTTCCACTGTGATTCCAACGACTAAGAAGAGAGGGCGGTGTAGCGTAAGTGGCGCGAATTGAGAAGTGTGTGAGTCTCCTGCTTTTCAAGAAAATATACACGGGACAATAAAGGAGAATATTTTTTTACGTGCAATCAATTGTGTTTTGCCATTTTTAACGTTGGTCCTTCGAGCCGCATAATACCTGCGATAATACCTGGATCTAGTTTGGATCGCATTAAGATTCGTGCGGATCTGATGAATTCTGAGCGTGACGAAAAGTCAGAGAGCCAAGCAATGTTAGAAGTTATCGATTTAGTGAGGCTATGCAAAGGGCAAAATGACAAGACTGCGAACGAAAGTATTAGAAGCAATGCAACAAGAAAGACTGGCATTGGATTCGACAAAGATCAAGCAAGGTTTGAAAAGCTCGAAAAAGCATATCGCGAGTTCGAGAACATTCAAAGACAGTTACTGGAACAGTTAGGCAAACTTTCTGCGGAAGATGCAGTAGAAGAGGAGCAGATCGAGGAAAAGTATTTCGAGGTAAAAATTTTATTGAAATAATTTATCAAGCAGACGTCCAAAAAAGACGCTGCATTGCAAAATTCAAACGCGATAACGAAATTGCTACAGCAACAAACAGAGCTGATGCAACAATTTCAGTTCGTTACTCAAGGCGACCAATCAGCCACCACAATCGCGAGATAACGACACGTTAACGGCCATACTTGTCCAATAAACGGACATTTTAGATCGCGTGACGAACACCACAGGCTCGGTTAGCATAGATAATAGAGTTAAGTTGCCTATTTGCGCGTTTCGATGGAAAGATTGAGGAATGGAAGTACTTCTCGAACAGTTTCCGCTCAATTATACATGAAAAGGCGCATCTATCAAAAAATTTCAGTATTTAATGTCATCGCTTTCCGGTGTCGCCGTGAAAATAATCAAATCAATCGAGATAACCGGGCAGAATTACCATATTGCATGGGAATTACTGCAACAAAGGTATGACAATCCTAGATCGCTTAAAAAGAAACATTTAATGTTTATTCGCGATGCCGACCGTAGGGAACGAATTCGCGAGGGCAATTCGAGAGTTAGTTGACTATACTGCTAGACACTTGCGAATGTTGAAGGTTTTAGAAGCAGACACACATGGGATGACCTCGTAATACACATGATGGAATCTAAATTCGATGCTAGAACTCTTCGAGCTTGGGAAGAGGAAATAAAGCTAGACGAAAGTGCAAAATTAGATATGTTTGAGTTCCTGAAAAGGAGACGCCAAACTCTCGAACGTATTGAGTCAAGATCAGCGGATAAGAAAGGCCAAAAGAAGGAGAATAGCGCGATAAGAGTTATATTGCACATCAAAGAAGTTAAACGATTAAAACTATGCTTAAACTGTCTAAGCACGACTACGTAAAAACTTGTCGATTGAGCTCTTGTAGAGAATGTTCCGGGCTACATAACACGCTATGCCATCTACCAACTAGCAAAGATTCTGGTAAATCAGAAGAATCGCGAACACAAGCCGACAATGGGCAATCACGTGTAAATGTTGCGGTTCATCACGCGTCAACTAATGAAAGAGAAAGATGTGTTTTCATGGCCACTGCTATGTTGGAAGCATAACAGCGCAGCGTAATAGCTCGAGCGTTCCAATTTGAGTGCTTCTAGACAGCGCAAGCGAAGCAAACTTTATCACTCGGTCAGCCCACAATAGATTAGGTTTGAAATGTAATAGAGCTTTCGAGATCGTAACCGGATTAAATAAAATCGAAAATCAGTTTAACAGTGCTTGCGATGTAAGTGCGATAAAAATGTTCTAATTTCGAAATCATCGTTTAATGTTTAATTGTACCCGAATCACGAGGAATTTACTTTCTGCAAAAATAGAACGTGACAAATTGCAAATACCTGCCAACATCAGACTAGCCGATTCGGACTTTCACACGGACCGGTGGATTAATAGGCGCGGAATTCTTTTTTGACTTGTTAGAAGCGAACAAAATAGAACTCGGTAAGGATTATTTAGTGCAGAATACGAAACTAGGATGGGTAATGGCAGAACCCATTCCATTAGTAACATTCAAGAATTCGGTAGTCAAGTAAAGAACAACAAGTGTTTTAACGTATTCATTAAAATCCTGTGAAACATTAAACGAGAATCTAAAGCGATTCTGGGAATTGGAATATTATGACGATAAAAGGGCACGAACGCTGTCTTATAAAGAAAAGAAGTGTGAACTATACTTTGAGCAGACCACTACGCGTGCCAGCGATGGCAGATTTATAGTAAAGTTACCGTTTTGCGAGAAAAAGGTACCCATAGCCCATAGGCGACAACAAAGAAGTAGCACTTAAAAGATTAAATAGCTTTAAACGTATTCTCAAAGGCAATGAAGTTATTCGCGAACATTACATTAACTTCATACAGGAATACCTTGACTTAGGGCATATGTCAATCGCACTATCCTAGCAACCGCAAGAATATAGTTTACTCCGCACCACGGAGTGTTGAAAAAATCTAGTAGCAGCACCAAGTTACGCGTGGTACTTGACGCCTCTGCTAGAAATAACAAGGGTGTGTCTTTGAACGATGCTCTCCTCGTCGGATTCGTCTTACAAGACAATTTAATTCACATAATTATATGATTCCGGACATAATTGCAGTAACGGCCAATTTATAGAAAATGTATCGCCAAGTTCATGAGAATGATCGGGATTTTCAGCGCATATTATGGCGTTTCTCTACAGACGCATCCGTGAAGAATTATAGTTTGAATACCGTCACGTACGGTCAAGCATGCGCATTTTATTTGGCAGTTCGATGTTTACGACAGCTGATATATAAAGAGTCAGATGACTCATTCTCTTGCGGCACAAGCACTATTAAAGGATACTTATGTTGATGACATAATATCGAGAACAGACACTATCCAAAATGCACGTGCCTTGCAAAGACAGTTGACCGATCTTTTACGTTCTACAGACATCACGATTATTTTCTTTCAAAAGAATTGACTCCACGTCGCGATTACGAGATTCAAGTGGAGTCCGCTGATAACGGTTTGATAGATCTGAAAAGAGGGACCGAACGGGCTCCGCGAAAACTAGTAAACGCTAATCAACTCGGAAGGAATAACAATCTTAATGCAGGCCCGAAAAGTGACAAGATTGCAAAAGACATTATAAATGTATCGAAGTCACGCAATAATAAAAATCCAAGCTTTGTCGTCCCAGACTGACCAACAATTTCATCTTAAGAAAACAGGCACCACATCGCGCTTAAAAATCATAAAACACATGGAATAGCTTCTCACGGTAACGTTATCTAAGATCGGATTCACGACTGACAACTGGTTGGCCTGCACGCAAAACTAGTGCACGGTAACCGTCTGTTTACCTAGCTATATTTTCCACGAGAATAACAGAATTCGTTATCCGTCTGGAGCAATCTTGCCTCTTTAAAGAAAAACGTAAATCATTTCTTTTCTTCTCGAAACCTCTTTAACGATGCACTTTAAATTAACAACGATAGGACGCTATAAAAATCTCGCGTGACATTGCAACTAACATTTGCATCCAAGATAAAGGGCAATACGCCCTTTTTTCGGGGTATAAATAGAGGTCCCGCGGAAGCGCAGAGCGTCAGTACGAGAGTCAAAGGAATTAAGTCCACGTCAGTAAAATTCACTCTGCTTGCGTCAGTTCACGCAAAAACTAGTGCCTTTGTTCGTCGCGCATCTCAGTGCTTATTTAATCTATTTTTGTACGCCGTGTGCTCTCTGAGACCATCCAGTCATCGTTCACTGGGCCTTCCTGGCGCTCTTGCGTGGACAGCGGACCTCATCATCAATCCGCGATCTCGTAGACCAAGCACCAAAAGTAAGTCGGCTTGTTATTCCATCCGATCATGCACGCGCCTGCCCGTATTTAAACATGTTGAATCAGCTTAGTGTGCTTGTGTGAGTAATGTGGGTGCGCTATCGATGTTTAACGAAAAGGCCCGAGTGCCTCCGTGTCATGTCTCGACTATTTTTGTTATTCGGGTTGACCGTCGCGTTGCCATGTTACTCTAACAAAAAAAAAGGAAAGTTAGACTCTTGCATCGTTGCCATGCGAGTCAGTCTCGTCTCGTCTGTTCATCAATAAAGACCTTTTTTTTCTTCTCAAAAAGCAAATTGAATTTAATAACTGATTCAAGCCTCAACAGGTTATGGGCCCAGGCACGATTACAGTGCGTTCAATTTGCTAAGTATAAATAAAAATGCCAGACGAATTTTCTGTGGGGCACGTGCCAAAATTCGATGGAACAAATTTCCTCGAATGGAAATTCCAGATGGAAGCGACTTTGAGAGCTTGTGGTCTTTACGAAATTGTAGACGGTACAAACGTAAGACCTACAGCAGCTGAAGAGGAGCGTGTGAAGGCGTGGGTGAAAGACAACGCAAAAGCGATATTTATCATTTCGAGAGCAATGGAGTACAAACAACTAGAAAGTTTACTAGTATGTACCGGCAAGGAAATGTGGGATACACTCGCAAAAATCCACCAGCAAAATTCAGCAGCGAACAAGCTCGTATTAATGAAATGGTTCCATGAATATCGAATGGGAGCGACGGATTCGACCGTTCAGCATGTAGCAAAAGTACAGAATTTGGCGATACAGTTACGTGATCTCGGAGACAATGTGTCCGACTTGACAATCATGGCGAAAATACTATCGAGTTTAACCTCAAAATTTAGCATCCTGCAGACAGCGTGGGACAGTGTCGATCCTGATCGACAAAGCGTAGAGTATCTGCAAGAACGACTTATCACCGAGGAAAGTCGTTTGGTAGCTGAAAAGGAAGAAAGTACGGCATTTTCAGCGATGCGGATCATCAGCGAGAGGCTGGCAGTTCAAAACACAAAGGAGACTCGAAAGGAAGAAATGAGGTAAACAAAAGACGTGAGAAGAAAAAAAAGGACGTCGAGTGCTATCGTTGTCAAGAGAAGGGGCATTACGCACGTGATTGCCCGACGCGAAAACAAAGAAAAACTGCCAGTGACGAAAGTGAGACGCGAGGAAGCGTGTTTATCGTTGAAAGTTCGCGAAGTGTAAACAACAGTTAAAAAAACAGTCGGTTTGGTAAAATGCCTGAGAATGTCAAAAATCAATGGCTACAACTGGATAAGAAAGATATCTGGTATGTCGACAGTGGTGCTTCACGGCACATCACGTTTCGACGTGAATGGTTTACCGAGTTCCGTCCGCTCAGAGGCACAACGGTATCGGTCGGAGACGACGGCGTGTGCGAGGTGTCAGGCGAAGGAACTGTAATTATCGATAAGCTCGTCAACGGCGTGTGGCGCGAGGCGCGCATAGAAAATGTGCTCTATGTACCGAAAGTGCGCAACAACCTGTTTTCCGTCGGTGTATGTACTTCGAGAGGC